TTTTTTTAGGCCCGACAAACAACAAAACCTGAAATTTCTTAAACACATTAAACATTTGTTTTCAAGTGCGTAAAAGATATAAAAAAAATATTATAAAATAAAAATGACGCACAATTTGTTGTTGTTCTTTTTTTGTTAAATAAAAATTATAAAAGATTTAAAAAAACAAAGGCATAATAAAGACATAATTAAATGTTTCTTTTTAAAATAAAAAAAATATAAAAATAATTTATTAGAAATACATACAGTCTAAAGTAAAAGTAATTAGACGAATTAAAGGTTTTTATGTTAATATAACCGAAGCTTTACCAAAATGGCATCAATAAATTATTAAAAGTTGTTTTAAAATAAAAAAATATGATGCAATTTTTAGCAATTATTACATTTAAAAATTCTATATTGGAGATTTTTTAAAAATTTTTAAATTTTCGTTTTTTTTTTTTCAAATCACGTTTTTATAACAAACTATTTAAAAAATATTTTCTTTTTTTTCACATAATTAATATTGTTGTTTTCTAATTCAAACATTTATTTTACAAATCCACAAAATTTTATAAAAAAAACTAAATAAATAAAATTTATTTTTGTTCTAGTTGTGATAATCGAAGGTCATCATCATCATGTATTAATCTGAAACATTTGTGTGATTTTGAAATGTTTTTTTATTTTTATTTCTAAATCACACTCACTCATTTGAGATTTTGAAAAAAAACACATCTAAATGTTCTTACACATATTTTAATTTAAAATTTAGAAAAAAAAAAACAACAACAATTTAGAAACGTGAAGGTATTTTGTTGTCTAATTATATTTAGCGGTTGTTTTTGAAAGAAATTAACAAAAACCAATGTTTAGCTATAATTTATGATAAAATTTTACAAAAAATGCTGATTTTTTTTAACATTTAGAGGTTTGAAATTGAGTTTTTAATGTCACTTTTTTTTCAAAAATAAAGATAAAAACAAATGTTAGAAAATAGCGACAATTAAACAAATTATGTACAGGTTTGTTTAGCAAATAATTTTTAAACAAATAACAGCTGTCAACGTTTTGACGTTTTGATTTTAAATGTCAAAATACTATGCGACAATATTGAGAGACGGTGACTCAGATGATGTCTTTTTTTGTTGTTATTTAAAAAGTTATTTGGTAAAATTGAGTTTTTTATAAGGTCTTAAATACGATTTACAGTCTGGTTAATAGACCAGTATATAGTATGATCTATAGCCTGGTCTATAGTTTGATCTATAGTCTGGTCTATAGTCCAGACTATACTGTGGTCTACAGCCTAGTCTACAGTCTGGTCTATAGTCTGGTATATAGTTTGATCTATAGTCCAGTCTATTGTCTGGTCTATAGTCCAGTCTAAAGTCTAGTCTATAGTCCTGTCTATAATCTGGTCTATAATCCAGTCTATAGTCTGGTCTATAGCCTGTTCTATAGTTCAGTACTCTACCAGTCTATAGTCTGGCCTATAGTTTGATCTACAGTCTGGTATAGAGTTCAGTCCGTAATCTGGCCTATAGTCTTGTCTATAGTCTGGTCTACAGACTGGTATATAGTTTGATCTATAATCCAGTCTATTGTCTGGTCTATAGTCCAGTCTGGTCTATAGTCCAATCTATAGTCTGGTCTATAGTCCAGTCTATAGTCTGGTCTATAGTTCAGTCTATAGTCTGGCCTTTAGTCTTATCTATTGTCCATTCTATAATTTACAGTCTATAGTCCAGTCTAAAATGTGGTCAATAGTCCGGTCTAAAGTCTGGTCTATAGTCTGGTCTATAGTCCAGCCTATAGTCTGGTCTATAGTCCAGCCTATAGTCTGGTCTATAGTCTGGTCTATAGTCCAGCCTATAGTCTGGTCTATAGTCCTGCCTATAGTCTGGTCTATAGTCCTGCCTATAGTCTGGTCTATAGTCCAGCCTATAGTCTGGTGTATAGTCAAGCATATAGTCTGGTATATACCCCAGTCTATAGTCTGGTCTATAGTTTGATTTTAGCCCAGTCTATAGTTCAGTCTATAGTCTGGCCTTTAGTCTTGTCTATAGTCTGGTTTATAGTCCAGTCTATAGTCTGGCCTAGAGTCCAGTCTATAGTCTGGTCTATAGTCCAGTCTATAGTTTGATTTATAGCCTAGTCTATAGTCTGGTCTATTGTTCAGTGTATAGTTTGATCTATAGTTTGGTCTATAGTACAGTCTATAGTCTGGTCTACAGTCCTGTCTATAGTCTGGTTTATAGTCCAGTCTATACTCTGGTCTATAGTCCAGTCTATACTCTGGTCTATAGTCCAGCGTATACTCTGGTCTATTGTCCAGTCTAAAGTCTGGTATACAGTCCAGTCCAGGCCAGACACTACAGTCCAGTCTATAGTGCAGTCTTTAGTCCAGTCTATAGTCTACTCTATAGTCCAGTCTATAGTCCAGTTAATACTCTGGTCTATAGTTCAGTCTATATTCTGGTCTATAGTTTGATCTATAGTCCACTCTATAGTTTGATCTATATCCCAGTCTAGAGTCTGGTCTATAGTTCAGGCTATAGTCTGGCCTTTAGTCTTGTCTATAGTTCAGTCTATAGTTTGATCTATAGTCCAGTCTATAATCGGGTCTATAGTACAGTCCATCTTGTACATAATCTAGTTTATAATCCAGTCCGGTGGTCTTTCTTCTAGACTTCAAACGAAGCATTGATCGGGTCTACGGTGTAATCTATAGTCCAATGTTATAGGGTTATATTATTATTTTTAATTTTTTCCATTTATTTAATATTTAACATTATTTTTGTATTTTTACTAATAGAGTGGACCAAAAAAAAAAACAAAGTTAAGATTACCATAAAGGTTGCTTGTTTTTCCGGATTTGTTTTTTCCTCAAATATTAAACAAATACATATACATATATACTTCGATCAAAGTGTGATATTGAGTAGTCACAGTCAATACAATTGCTTTGTATTTTTTTTAAGGTTATTTTAAGAAGTTACACCAGTAGCAGGCAGTTGGCCATATGTACGTTATTTGAAAAATTTTCCATTGGCCGGCAGAAAAAGAAAATTTAAACATCATGTTTGAGAGCGAAAAAAACTTCATCTATTAACGAAGATTTTCATAATGTTGATCATCATAATGAAGATGATGATGATCGCAGATGTGTTTTTTTAGACTTGTTTATGTCGGTTTAAGTTTTTTTTTCTAATAAACTGGTATTTTTTTTTTTGCATTTTTAAGTAGTAATTGTTTTTTTAATACATTGTTTTAAAGATTTATGTATATAGTTTTTAAGTTTTTTTTCGAAACTAAAGGATTATAAATGACAGTTATTTATGTGGTGGCATCAATAGCGAAATAATGGGTTTTTAAATGGACCGGTTATCGTTAATAAGGCCATAATTAGCTAAAATAGTATACTACTCTATGACAGTATAGAAGGTAATGGTGTTTTTAATCTTAAATAATGGAAAAGATTAACTATAATACAATCTACAGTCCAGTTTATATTTTAGTTTATAGTCTACCTTATAGTCTGATATATAGTACCATCTGTAGTTTAATCTATAGTCTAATATATAGATCAGGCGATTATTTAGTCTGTAGTCTAGTTTGTAGTCCTCTCTATAGTATGGTCTATAGTCTGGACCATAGTCAGGTCCATAAACTGGACCATAGTCAGGTCCATAAACTGGACCATAGCCTGGTCTATCTGCCATATACATCAGTCTATAATAGTCCAGTCTATGGTCTGGTCTACAGCGCAATCTTTAGTCCAGTCTATAGTCGGTACTATAGGCCATGGTCTGGTCTATAGTACAGTTTTTAGACTATAGATCAGACTAGAGACTGGACTATAAACTATAGACCAGAATATAGACAAATACTATGGACTAGATTATATACCAGACTATAGGCTGCACCATAGAACAGACTATAGCCTAGTCTTTAGACTAGTCTATAGTCTTGTCTATAGTCTGGTCTATAGTCCAGTTTATAGTTCAGTGTATAGTCTGGTTTATTGTCCAGTCTATAGACTAGAGATAAGACTATAGACAAGACTATAGACCAGACTATTGACAATACTATAGACTAGATTATATACCAAAGTATAGAATGGACTATAGAACGGACTATAGTCCAGTCTTTAGTCAGGTCTATTGTCTAGTCTATAATGTGGTCTATAGTGCAGTCTATAGTTTAGCCTATAGTCAGGTCTATAGTCCGCTTAATTGTCTGGTCTATAGTATGATCTATAGTCTATAGTTCAGTCTATAATATGAACTATATAGTCTAGTCTATAATGTAATCTATAGTCTAATTTATAGTTTAGTCTATTGTCCAGACTATGGACAATACTATGGACTAGATTATATACCAAAGTATAGAATGGACTATAGAACGGACTATAGTCCAGTCTTTAGTCAGGTCTATTGTTTAGTCTATAATGTGGTCTATAGTGCAGTCTATAGTTTAGCCTATAGTCAGATCTATAGTCCGCTTAATGTAATCTATAGTCTAATTTATAGTTTAGTCTAGTCTGATATAGTCCAGTCTACAGTCCAGTTTATAGTCTGGTCTATTGGCGAGTTTATAGTTCACTCTATAACTAGTCTTGCCTATATTCCATTCTATAGTCTGGTCTATAGACCAGCCCATGGTCAAGTCTATACTCAGTCTATAGTCTGATCTATAGTTCAAATTTTGTTTTAAAAAAATATCTTTTAATTTAAACAAGCAAGTGAAGGGCATTAAATAAAAATTCCTCACCTTTTTAGACCCAAAAACAAACAAAAATAAAGCAAATAAAATAAATTCAACACTCTTTCTAAAATTTATTTACGGCACAATGGATTTTGAATGATTTCTTAAAAAGCAGTGAAGTGTGAAATTGATTTTTTTGGGTAATTTATATTATTTTAAATTACCTAGTAATTTATTGTTGAAAAGAAATTCTCTTTAATTTTATTTTAATAAAAATTTCTTAAAAAAAATGTCAAAACCCTAAAACTCACCGTTTTAAATGATCTCTTTTATTATCCTCACGTACAACAACTTGTGTTTCTTGGGCTATTTGTCCAAAACAAACGTTGTTGGTCTCTCGTACCATTTTTGTTTATGAAACTTCATGGAGGCGAATTTTTTTGGATTTTTTTCAAATGGGCGCACTCCAAACCCATTCAAAAATATTACGTTGTGAAAAAACAAAAAAAAAATCGTCAATATTTAGCGATCTTTTGTTTTCTCATAGACATTTTATAATTATATTTTTATATTTTTTTGCAAATATTTTCATTGGTTCATTATATTTTCGAGGGGAATTTTTTGAAATTTTATTTTCTTTTATAAAGATTTTTTTTTTTTGCAAAATTTAATAGATTTTTTTCACTTTTATATAATGAATTTTTTCTTCGAAAATACCCGCGGTTATCTAGAAAGAGAAGAAGAAAAAAGGGAAATCATTAGTGTTTGGAGATAATATAGTTTTCAAAATTATTTTAAAAATTTTAAGAATTTTATAATAACGTTGTAAAACTAATTGTATATTATGGACCCTACTTTACTTTAATAGAATTCCCAGATCTTTTCTGAATCATAAGAATTTGTAAAAGGTTTCGTATTAAAGAAATTTTTCATTTTATAAACCTTAGAATTCTATTGAGATTTGTTCGTGATTGAATGGTATAATTTTTGAAAATCTAACCTTTGACCCCAGAAGAATAAAGTCAGTATATAGTCACGTGTTTCTATAAAATCAAAATGCCCAATATCTTATACGAAAGTAATGGAAATGTTTATTAATTCTATTGATTTTGTTTTAATTTGGACCCTTTCTAGATAGTGTGAACTATAGGGTATAATAAACTAGTTTATATATTAGTCTACAAATCCAGTTTATAGTCTGGTCCACAATCCATTCAATAGTACGATCTATAATCTGAACCTTAGTATATAACTTTGTCTATAGTTCAGTCTAATGTTTGGTCTGAAATCCGTTTTTTTAGTCCGATCTAAATTATGATCTATAGTTCTTAGTCTGTAGTTCGAACCCCTTATCTAGGGTGCAGTATATAGCCTGGTCTATAATGTGGCTTATAGTTTGACCTATAGCTGTCTTTAGTCTGGACTCGAAAAGCGTTGAAATCTCAATTATCGTTTAGTCTATAATCCATAATGTAATCTGATCGTGAGACTATAATTGTTATATAATCTTCGGCCTATAATTGTTATATAATCCAGTCTATAGTTTAGTCTATAGTGGGGTCTATATTTAGGTCTTAAATCTGTAATTAATTTAGCATTAACTCGAGTCTATAGTGTTCTACAGTCTAGTCTGGATCAAAGTATTTACTTTTGTATATTGTCTGGTCAACAGTAGAGTTGATAATCTAGACTATAATGAAATCTTTCGTCTGGACCTTATATTAAAGTCCATAGTTTAGTTTTTATAAGAATGTGTATTATGATTTTAGAAAATTCGACCTTCGATCTGCGGTAATCAAGACTATATACTGGACCCTCCTCCATAGTTTGGTCTATAATCTGCAAATAATATGGATTAAATTCCAATTTATATTATGACCTATATCCATACTATTATGATCTATATAGTCCGGCCTATAATCCAACCTATAGCTAGAATAATTGTCCATGGTTTAGTATATAGTTTGGTGTATAGGTCTGATCAATTATTATGGTTATAGTCCAATCTATATTATGATCTATAGTCTGGTCCATAACCCGACCTATAGCTAGGACAACTGTGTACGGTTTAGTTTATTGTCCGGTCAAAAGTAAAGTTTATAATGTGGACCCTATAAATGTTAAAAATATGAATTTTGATCCGAGAATAATGGAGTCAGTTTTTTTTTTTTGGTAAAAAAAATAGCTATTTAAGGTCCCATTTAGTTAGGTTTTGGATGACAATCGAATTCTTGATTTAAACTCTAGATCCAAATCTCCCGAATTTCTTAATTTGGAATCTAATTTTAGATTTTGAATCTTCTAATTTTCAAAATTTACAAACTTGAGATTTTAACTAAAAATTACTAAGATTAAATAAAGAATTAGCTCTATTCTTTTTAGATTTTATAATAAATTCTGAATTTTTGTTTTTAAATAGAAAAAATAAATCCATAATAATAACCAGTTTTCCCAACTACACGTTCTTAAGTTTATATTTTCTTGGTCTGCAAAATTCTTATTTGTCATTATTGTCAACCACCACCAACAGCAGCAGTAGCAGCGGTAATAAAACCCCAGCAAACTTAAGACATTTGGATAGATTCTGCAAAATATTCTATATTCTGCTGGATTTCTTATGATGGCATGACATGATGATGGCTGCTTGAAAAAAAAACCTAAAATGAACCAACTTCTGCTTCTTCTAATTCTTTTACTGCTGCTGCTGCTGCTAGCTTTAAGCTAAACTTTGGTGGTGGCTGACGGTAATGAGGATAAAGTCGATACAATGGTAGTAGATGATGGTGGTGGTGCTAACCAAAAATATCACACAGCCAAATAACGACAACTATAAGCAACAACAACGACAATTTAAAAATCATACCATCAACAACAACGACGTCGACAGCAGCAGATCTAGCAAAGCTGTATTAAAACCATTTGAGTTCAAACTACACATTTATGGTTAAATATACGAAAAAAAAAACAATAATACAATAAAAATACATACAAACTAAAAACAACAACAACAAAACAGAGTAGACTAACAAAACAGAAACGACGTGTTTTTTTTTTTGCTTTACGCTGCTACTACTCAACAAACAACACCAAAAATATACTAACAAAAACACACATTCATACATATACACAACACATTTAGTCAGCCAAACTACAACAACAACAACAATTACCTACAATATTAGTTAGTAGTCTCTGCTGCTGCTGCATTAAAAGCAGCAGCAATACACAAACATACATGCATATAAAAAAAATTCTTCTTAAAAACGTAATATGAAATTTGACAACACAGCATTTTTTTTATATAAATGTACGTTGTGGGTATGTTTGTATGTACAATTTGCTGCTAGAGAAGGCAAATGTTGTTTTTTGTTGTCTTTATTCATTTTTTTTTTCTTCTCATTTCGTGTTTTTCAATAGTGAAATTTGACAACGTTGCTAATTTGCTGTTTTTATAATAATTGTTGGGTTTTTTTTTTCTTGCTTCTCTCTGCTTCTTCTTTTTTACAGTATGACTGGTATATCAGTACACACGAGCACGAGTTTGTGTGTATATTCAATGTTTATTATTTCAGTTAGTTAAAAGGCGAGAAAGAGAGAACACACTGAGTAAGTAGAAGAAAAAAAAATTGTTCTTCAGAAATAAGAGTAAAAAGGAAAGAAAATGACAAGTTGTTATTAAAGTTGGGCCATCCATATGTACTAGATTGTATGTGCGTGTGTTTGCTGGTAATGTTGACGACCACGATGATGATATTGTTGTTGTTGTTTTTAGTTTTGCTGTTTTTTGATGGCGATGATGAAGACGATGACGACTACAAAGATGTTGTTGTTATTATTTTAAGAGGTTATTGTTGTAAAGTTTCTTTTATAATTTTTCGTTGTGTTTGTTTGTTTATTTGTTTGTGTATATATTTTTTAAAAGATTTCTGTTATACACATTGCGCCTTGATATAGTCGGGCTAAAAGAAAAACATAAACACACTCACACCCATTTAAATAAAAGTAGAAGAAGCAGCAGCAGCAGCTTAAACTTCCAGGCTATTATTTTTATAAACAAAATCCAAATCGTAATATAATTTTATAAGTGAAAAAACTAGCAGGGTCCAAATTACGTCGATCGAAATCTTAGTCTTGGACTCATTAAAAGACAACGTGAATCGTGAATACAAGGCACTGATTCCAGCTAGATGGTTAAAGAAAGAAACCTTGTTGGCTAACTGTAAAACAATTGGTCGGCCAGTGGCCCATTAAAACTGCTCCAGTGTGATCTACTTTTTACGGCGTTCAATGATGATTGAAATCTTAATCCTAGACATTGTAATAAATCGGACTAGCCCGATTCCATTAAAGACAGAATTTATCAGAAAAATATTCAAAGTTTACATGGATATAACCTCAGAGCACTTTCTACACGATGAAACGAAAGTCCTCCCATTATTTGACTGTCAAAGAATGATCTTAACCCATACTTCTTTAAACTTTCTGTAGTGTCCCTAAGGTACTCCTCGAATTTATCAACATAATCACATCCAGAATTCTCCATCTGTAATTTCACAGATCTTTTTACTCCTGCGAACGGTACTTCTGATAAGTCTCGTAGAAATCTGTAGTGATAGATCTTTGAATCAGTGCAAATCATATTGCTTGCAGCAATATTTCCCAGTCTTCGGCCTTGCAGTTCGAGCCATTCACATAGAATGTCTTGAACAGATGCTTCTTAATGGAAACAACTAGAAGATTACACGATCTGATCATACATAGTTCAAAAAAACTGCTTTTCAAAAGTCTTTACAAGTCGAAGAGCAAAAGAGTCATTCTTTATATTGTAAATCTGAATCATCAGACTTTTTTCGATCATACTTGATACCGCAGGTCAAGGGACATCATACAATGTCCTATGGGAAGTCACTGGATCAGTCACCCCACCTTTAATAACACACCACTGAAAGCTTCCCTAATGCATGCCATTAAGGACTATTTTAGATTATGTCGAGCATCTCAGTGGATCTTTTGTATATGGTATTTCCTCCGAAATATGGAACTATATATTATAAAAGAAAGATTTCTGTGGATATTGAATTTCTATTTAAATGGCAAAATCTATTAGATCGTTACTTTTCTGGGCCTATAAATTGGATGTTCAGATAGAACGAGATCTAAAAAAATTCCAACTATTAGTACATTGTTGTTGTAGCTGCGACACGTGGCTTATTGGTGTTGCTGAGTTGAATATCGGTGGTCGTTGAACATTGAATCATTCCTGTGCGAAGAACCAATTGTCGTGGGAACGCGTTAATGCTTTACAGGGCTCTGAATTTATTAATCTTGTAAACCAGTAAGTAAGTTTGTCGTTGTAGATTTAATAAAAGTTAAAGATCTAACATTATCACTGATCCTCAGTTTTGAATCGAGAATTTTTACTCCATATAGCAACAAAAGACTAAAAATTTGGACTTTATAACTTCATGTTGATATTTAGGGGATTTTTCATTAAAACAAAAATCTTTCCCATTCAGTAAAATTCTTGAGGTCTCTAACTCACTCTCCTCGCACATGGACGAGAAAATAAAATTATCGATTCGAAAGGCAGTTAGCACGTTTAGGCTGATAGTTAAAAAGAATAACAACAACAAAAGCAAGTGACGTTAACGTTATATAAAAATTCATTTAACTAAAAAAAAGACGACAACAACAAAGTACACACACACATAAGCAGAAATACTTGAA